GGTGGACCCTCTGTCTTGATGATGGAAACAGGGAGTTTATCTGAAATGTACGTAAACATGCCCCAGACGACATGGCGTCACATCACAGAATGTGGTGTTCTTCAGAGTCAGCGCCATGACAACCTGACGGTAACCTCACAGCTCGGTAAACATGTTCCCGCAGTTACGCTCTCAACAATAGATGGACATCTGTTGCTGGGTAACGGACCAATAAACACGCATTATTAATAAAGTATTTTCCGTGATATCCGTGCCGAGGAATTTTGAAAGGGCACAGAATGGAGTACAGCGGAGTTAGCCTACGAAAAGAGGACTTCATGCATGTTGTAGTTACTGTGAGACTGTGATAAATCCTTAGCCAGGATAGGACTAGTGAAGACTGAGAAGGCTTAGTTTGTCCTAGTGACTTGTGAAGTGGGGTAGATTAGCGATTGCGCTGTATTGATTGTGATTAAGAGAGACTGAAAAGAAGATGTTAATAAGGCCAGTCATCCCACCCAAAACCCAATATTATGGACTACGGAGCCATAAACACTTGATATTATGAATTGAGCTGGAAGTAAAAGCTCTCGAGGAAGGAGGTACTGACGTCATGTTTCGAGCAATACGATACATGAGAATAAGAGACAATGGAATGTGGATGATTCATGCTACCATTAAATACACAATAAACAGTAGCCATACTCCAACACACGTGCTTGAACAACGCAAACCTTTATGCAACTGATAAGCAGCGAAATGGAATGACCTCCAGCTTGTTTGCAATCATCAGAACTGGGTGCCAATTGTTTTGAATGTGTTTCGGCTTGAAAAAGTTTACTAGATTATCCACTTCTTGTTAGTACGAGTATAATTTCCTTATTTTGAAAAGAACAGAAGTAGGCTTATGAGATCACCTTCCTCTCTCTTTGTCTGTATATATATGCATCCTCCGTTTTTAAGTTCTTAATATCTGAATTCATGAATCCCTCTCATCAGTAACAGCAATATTACAGCCTCTCACATTTCTGAGGCCTAACCTTAATATTGCTTGAACGCCTACATCAGCACATCATGCCACATGAAGCCATCTCAACGGCATACTTCATAAGTCCCTTAGATCAGTAATACCAACATTACGCGCTCTCAAACTGTTGCAGTAATAACCTTAATGTTATTTAAATGCGTGGACCGATTGCCATGGAAATAGTTACGTATATATCATGCTAACTGTGCCAATCTCAACGGCGTATATCATAAATCTCTCTGATCAGTAAAACCAGCAATATAGTCTCTCACATTGTCGAGGTATTACCCTTTTTATTTTTTATTTCTTTTATTACTAGTGGGGTGGGGCTAAGTCCCTTGTACTGCGGCCACTTCTGGCCTATTGTACGAGCCCCAGATGATAGGTGAGGGTGACTGTGGAGCAATTNTTTGTCCACCACAAATCCCACTTGACCAGACCCGGGATCGAACCCGGGCCGCCGCGATGGGAAGCCAGCGACTAACCGCTTGAGCTATGGCGCGGCCAGGTATTGCCCTTAATACTGCTGGAATGCCTGACCAGATTGTCATGAGGTCTGTTATGTATGAGTATATCATGCCACATGTGACCATCCCAACGGCGTACCTATGACATCTCATTAGCACAACTAACATTACATCCTCTCAAATTATCGAAGCAATAACCATAACATTACCTGAATTCCCGAAACAATCTGCTTGAAACTTTGAATGTATATTACGCCCTCTGAGGCAATCTAACGGAGTATCTCATAAATCAGTCCCATCAGTAACAGCAACACTCCAGCCTCCCAAATTTTGTTGTTTTATTGACTTCGCTGCTAAAGTTTTCTGTTTTCGTGTCACATACTAAAATTACAGCGAAAATAAATTAGGCGAATAGTTATTCCCACAACTTCCCGTTTTTTCATACTGCTTTTAGACTTAGGGATAGTTAGGAATTTTAATTGTTGTTGTCAATATTACTATTATTGTCATTAGCATTATTACTGATTATATTATTATACGTGCTTATTAAATTCAGCCAAATTTTACTTCTCTCTTTGCTTTCTTTACATACGCTCATTTACTCTTGCATGGCCTGTTTATAAGAAGTTTGATGCCCTTTTCTAGGAGCGAGAGGATTTAGCAAAGCTTAGGGACTTGTGTCAGAGAAAATTTCAAAAACTTCTTCAGAGAGTGTGTGTGTGTGTGGGGGGGGGTTGATTTCACAAGTTACAAGAAAAATATTATGCGAATGGAATACTGTGAACTAAACAAATGACTAGGTATTTAATTTTTTTCCGTTTATTAATATAAGTTGTAAATGCTTGTGCAAAATATGTTCATTAAAAGTAAAAAGTAAAGGTATCCCTGTTAACAGGCCATGCAGGTCCATAGGGTTGTGAGATGTTGAGGTTCACACATTTATAGATCGCGGCAAGGTTCTCAGCCTTACGCGCCGGCCGCCCTTTACCCCCAAGAATATTCCTGGTACTCATTTCTGCTAGACGCTGAGTCAACCCCTGGGCCATAGTGCGGCTGGAGGGATTAGGTAAATTGAAAAATCCACCTCATCGGGATTCGATCCGCGACCTTCCGGCTTGTAGCATAGTGCCTCAACCAAATACGCTACTGCGAGAAATATGTTCATTATTTAGCAGAAAATATTTTATTTCATATCGTTTCTAACCACACATATACACAAATATATTGTATATATTAGGTACAAGGGAGAGCCAGTAAATGGGTCACAAATGGAAGTAAAGAAGCTGTAATTGACGTAATATGTTTTCTGTATGTATCACTAGGTAGCAGCACCGTCCAGCTTCATGAGAGTCGAGGTATGAAACCTTCTGGGATTGTAAATTGTACGAGGACCAAAGGGCAACAATAATAAACAGTTCATCTGAGAACAGCAAAAAAGAATACCTAGATTCAGTTACAAAGCTCTTAAGGCTAGAAAGAAAGGAAAAAAAAAAGATTTGTGTGTGGTGTCTGTTACTTCATAAACAAAATTCCTAAATTTATATAAAAAGGAGTGAACATACAAAATATTAGTAGTAGCCCCTTAGAGTTAAGAGACATATTACAAAATCGCGGGGCGACCGCTATAATAGAATAAGATGTTTATAAGACTGTACAACAGCTCTAGGCCTTTTTTTTTGTATATAAATGTACTTTTTAAAAAAAGTCTATGTAGCAGACGCGCATGCGTATGTTCAGGGGATATTTTCAGTAGTAAAAATGGCGACCATATTTGAATGTTCTACCGAATAACAGCGTTATGTTGTGCGTATTTTGTGGGCAAAGGGATTAAGTGCAAGAGATATTAATAAAAAATATATCCTGTTTATGGTGGGAATTTTTTTTCGTGTAAAGCGGTTCACAAATGGGTAGACAAATTCTCTCGCGGACGTTCGAAAGTCGCGGATGATGCCTGACCAGGTGCTGAAGTGGCTGAGACAACAGCCAAAAGACTTCTATGCTGCGGGGTTCGACGCACTGGTAAAGCGATGGGACGGATGTATCAATGTTGGGGGGGGGGGATAGGCCGAGAAAAAATGTTTTGTCCATGCTCAAATATCACATGTTTTACGTTTTATATATCAATTTGTGACCTACTTAATTACTATTCCTCACATATATACAGGATGTCCCAGGAGGAATGGACCAAACTTCGGGAGGGTGTTCCTTATGTTAAAGTATGCCGATATAACCCAAAACACCTATGTCCAAAGTTGAACGGTTACGGAGATAATGGCCAGAGAAGTGTCAAACTTTGACCGGTGTTACACACTTGTTGATTACAAAATACATATTAAAACTGGCAGGAATATGTGGATTCTGTAATGTTAATAATGTACGTAACATCAAACTAACTTGTGAGTGACGGAAAGCCATAAAATTGAAGTACGAAATACTCGCTCGCCATGTCATAATTGTCCTT